TTTTAAGGAGGAAGCGATGGTGGTGTTGCTTGTATCTTGCTCATTGTTCACAGCAGCAGTCAGCTCATTACAAAGCTCAGATTCATCCTGTTTGTTCAGGGACTCCTCTTCCTCAGGACATGGAGGGGGGTTCCAAAACAGACTCGCACCTACAAGCAGAGACACAACAGTATTCAGCATTTCTCTCTGAAACACATACAGATAAGCATGGACTCAAAAAAACACAACAAGCCACTGGAAACCTAATTAGGTTTGATCTTTTAAAAATAAATTATAAGAAGTATAATCAATACAGAACATTAGGAGCCAGAGGGCTACCTGTTGATTGCAATGAGGCTTAAAGACAATCATAATTGACATTCTGCAACAATCCACATCGTTATAAGTGTTATAGTTTATATTCTTGTTGTTTAGTTTACTTTGCGGTATAAACCTTCACTTTAATAATCAGAAAAGCAGAGGTCACCTGAAGTCTGTCATTTGTTGCTGTATCAGATACCTTACACATCACCTCCAGGTTGTGAGTGCATAGTTGAGGTAAGCGACTATTGTAATTCACCCCTTTTATGCTAGCAGGAACTGTCCCCTAAGGCTAGGTTCACATAGGTGCGGGTGGTGCCGCTGCGGATCTGCACAAAAATCCGTGCAGCCGCACCACCCGCACAGAACAATGCGTACCCATGGATGGGTGCCATTAATTCTAATGACACGCCGCCCACACTGAAAATCGCAACTGCACTGGGAACCGAGGTTCCCGTGTTGACTGAGTTTTCAGAAATGCAGGGACTTCTCCCCTGAGTGTCCCGGGGCACAGGTGTCCATTCAAATGAATGGGCTCTCGTGCCCGCACAAAAAAACGCGGCCCGCAGGAACGCGAATATGTAAACCAGGGGATAAGGGGGTATTACTATCAGAAGGGTTTCCTGGGATTCACAGTCATGTGATCACTGTTACTGGCTGTCACGTGATCAGAGGCCTGTCCTAATGTCTCCTAAATGTAAACAATGATGGAACTACCAGCTGTACACATATATGTAGCAAAGCCCATTGCCATGCAGCCATATAGGTGTACAGCCAGTGGGATGGGTTAGAGGCATATTAATAAGGAGACCGTTATTTTAATATCTGGGATGCAGGAAGCAAGGTCAGGCAGTTTACAGGTCTGCAATACTTAGACTTATGATTTGTGTTTCTGACAGCCAAGCTGAAGAGTCGGGCTTAAAAAGAAATAAACCTATAAGCTAAGGGTGCAAAAAAATACTTCATATATAAATCTGAAAAAAAAAAAAAAAAAAAAAAAAAAAAAAAAAACTCAAACTCTTGAATAACCCCAGTCTAGACTGTTTCTTTGGAACAAGATGGACATGCAAAGTCCTGCTGTCCAACAACCAGCCAGTGAGATGAGGTGATCAGAGGAAGCTGCAGATGACGATGCATGTGCTCATACTGTGCAGCACAGTGGTTAAGTGGCAGCACTAGCGTCGTTGGTTCGAAAATCCAAACCACGGCACCACCTGCCTGGAGTTTGCATGTTCTCCCTGTGTCTGCATGGGTTTCCTCCGGGTACTCCGGTTTCCTCCCACACTCCAAAGACATGCTGGCAGGTTAATTGGATCCTGTCTAAATTGGCCCTAGTATGTGTATGTATGAATGTGAGTTATGAACCTTAGATTGTACAACATATATGTAAAGCGCTGCGTAAACTGATGGACCTATAAAAGTACCTGAAACAAATAAATACATATTGCAACTATGTGTAACATCACCATATCAGGTCTGGCTCCCATACAAGAGTACAAGAAATACAAAATGAAGCAGTTGCAGGAAGTAGGCAGTCAGGTCTTTGCCATCACTTTATAACATAGCAAAAATGACAGCTGAAATCTAACCGACTGCTTTAAGATGCAGTTCTCATTGATCCTTGTTTAGAAATGCACTGACTGCTTACTTACACATTTGTTTTCCATATAGAAATACCTATGAATAAAAATAATTCAGGATATTTATAAAAAGCTACCCAGGCAAACCCTCAGTGCTGACAAAGATCCAGCCAGGTCAAGCAGCGGAAACACTGCAGGCTGAGAAAAAAGTGATCACAGTGACATCTAGTGGCCATTTTTCTCACCTCAGAACCGAACATTTCTAAATGATTTCACCAAAAATTAGACACATTTTGTAAATGGAATCAGTTGAGGAAAAAAAAAGTAAATGCCTGGTAAAAGCGGTGTAAAAAAAACAAAAAAAAAAATGTATAAAAAGATCACAAAGCATAGCTTAACTCAGCTTCCATTTTCCAGTTCTTTGATGTGGTGGCTGCATTTGTTTTCCCTTTTCAGGTTTTTTTCTTCTACTCTCACATGGTGATCCTGCCAGTAACACTTCCTGTCATAAGGGATGAGCAGTATTGTCTTTCTAGGCTGCTCTGACTACTGAACACCTATTCTCTTCATAACTTTACTACAAGGGGGGTCTGTAGTTCAGAGGTGAATTAGGCAGAATTGATTAATAATGCATGGAATTTGAGTACAGTAGAGGCAAAGGAAATAAATTGCTCAATGAATTTCTAGTAATTTAACAGGTATTATTCAGTACTGTGTTTTCGAGAGACAAAACATAGTGAAGTTTGTTTAAAATTAGAGAGATGTCCAGAAATATCTTTATTTTTTTTTTTGCCCAGACATACACTTTATGGTAATACATTGCTCTAGGACATACTTGTTCCAGGTCATGAATTTAGATTTGAATGAAAGGGAAAAAAAAAAAAAAAAAAAAAAAAAAAAAAAAACAACCACAGCACTTCTAGGAGTGGTGCCCACCAGGAGAGCAATCCTAAACACTGACATGGGCGCTGGATTTTCTTGGCATACAGCATTTGTGTGAACGTCTCTTTAGCTAACCCTACCTACCATCTAACAATTGTATCATTTCCTAGATTATGCCTTACCATAAACCCTTAACACTTAAAAGGATACCGGGCGCAAGAGAAACATGGCTGCTGTAATAGTGGACCTTTATTAAGAAGGACTTCTTTTTTTTTTTTTAACTTTTCGATTATATATATATATATATATATATATATATATATATATAAACACTCAGTGGTGATCAAATACCACCAAAAGAAAGCTCTATTTGTGTGAAAAAAAAGGATATAAATTTCATTTGGGTACAGTGTTGCATGACCGTGCCATTGCCAGTTCAAGTAGCACAGCGCCAAAATAGCAAAAAAAATTGCCTGGTCATGAAGCGGGTAAAACATTCTGGAACTTTTTTGTCATCTTTGGACTTGTTTGGGGCAGCGTCTGAAAATATCTGGCTAATGCACTAGCTTCAGTAACTTGCATTTTTTTCTGCTATAAAACATATCCAATTGAAAAAGAAAAAAAAATGAATCTTCAGAAATTTAAAAGGCCAAAATGTATTCTGCTACATGTAAAAAATCCCAAATGTATAGTGATTGATTTGCGGGAAAGTTATAGCGTCTGCAAACTATGGGATATATACTGGAATATTTATTTATTTTTATACTAGTAATGGCGGCGATCAGAGACTTATAGTGGAACTGTGATAGTGCGGCAGGCAGTCTGACACCAACTGGCACTTTGTGGGAACTGACTGACACCGATATCTCCAGTGACACTAATACAGTGATCAGTGCTAACAATATATACTGTCAATGTACTGACACTGACTTGGAAGTGGTTACTATTTAGTGGCAAAGGGTTAACTGTTTGCCTAACACGGTTTATTGTGTTTACTTTGTGGTGCTTTCACTAAGTAATGTGCCGGTTTTTACGAGAAAAAAAAAAAAACTTGCACATTGCTGTTGCCTGTAGAGAACGGTGTTTAGCAGCACAGAGCTCTTCTGTCATTTGCTCCTCCAATCAGCGAACCCCAGCCATAAATCATTGGTCGAAACCTGCTGATAGGCTTGCGCTGTAGCGCATGACAGCACAGCCTTGGCAGCTGGTGCATGCGCCCCCTACCAGGAAATGCTGAATCACATACATGTGTGTGTGATCCAGTGCAGCAGGCCCGCACTATCAATGTTTATGTACAGGGTGCGGTCTGCAACAGAATAGAGAATTGGCACTAGATTTTTGTTCGCTACATGCTTCCAGGTCTAGGACCCAGCAAGGCAACTAGTATTTTCATAAAGACAGGCAGTCCCTATTTTATTCTCATGTATAATAAAGAGATCATAACACACTAACCCTTAAAACCCGACTATGGACAAAGAACGAAAAAAAAAATAAAAAACAATTTCCCTTGCAGCTGGGATTTTTGTTTTTGAATTGTTTTTGTGTAGGGGATTGGAGAAGGGAAATTTACATATCCTCCCGATCATCCTCACACAAAACAGTCCCTGCAGCTCCTGACCCCCCCATCACACACACACACCACAGTCTAGTGCAGTGAACCGTTCCTGACATCATCAAGCCCACAGACTTGCTCTTGATGAAAGAAGGTCAGGAACATTCCACCACTGGGTCATGGGGAACGACATTTGTTGGATCGGGTTAAGTATAGCCTTTCGGTGTGCCCCTGGACAAAATGAGCAGTTAGCCCGCGCAGTGCGGGCATGAAAAAACTTTTTTTTTTTTTTGCCTGAAGGTGGGCTTTAATATTAAATTTCCTAATCTAGCACCTTTTATTAACCTACATGAGCTTGGTCAAAAACATTTGGTGAACAGTTCACATAAATTATATTTGAAAGTGGAAGATGTCGTCCCCAGTGGGCACTAGTAGCGGCTCATGCCCTGTCCCACTCCACCAAAAATTATCACACCTTTTGGCTAGCTATTGATCCATTGTGCTGTCCCTCCTATACTGTACCGCTTCAGCCCAAAATATCCTAATATTTTACATGCGCTGACCAATAACATGGGCAAAGGGAAGAGGTTGCTACCTGTGCTGACAGCAATGCTCACACTGGTCTTCCGCACTGGCTCAGAGCTCTCAGTCTCGGTGGATACAGACTCTGCTGTTTTCTCAGTGTGGGAAGGTTTGGAACCAACCTGAGCAGCCTGGGCTTCAAGCAACCGCTGGATCTACAAAGAAAACAATATCTCATTACACATCTTATATACACACTTTTTTTGCTAACATATGGAAATACATGGATGCCTTACTGCTGACCTTCTGAAAATGCTAGTTGCCTTGCTCTTATCCCTCAACACCTTTCATGTCAATGACTCAAAAGGGCTAAAACCACTGTATGAGCATACCTGCCAAACAACTAGCATTTTCAAAAACAGGATTCCCAAACATCTTCTCTCCTTTTAAAAAGTGGCTTACAAGTTTCAGGCTCAACAACTCCGAAGAGGAAAAACCAGGAGCAGTGTGAAGTCTAAACCAGTATCTGAAATAAACCATAGTGAGAAAGATTGGTTTATAAGTGAACCTGTGATAACGGATTCATGGATTTGTCAATGATGAGCTGCTTAATGCCCAATACCAGACACAAGAAAAAAAAAAAAAAAAAAAAAACACAGCTCCCACTGCAAGTGAGACCTCTCGGCACTGCAAGGGTTAAAGGCTTGTCAAAAAAACTGTCCTACCCACCCCCATCCCTAAACGCTCACCTGGCTCCTTTGTCCACTCCAGTGTTGTCTTGGTTAAAGCATCACTTCCCGGTATCACAAGAGACTGAGGGCAGTGGAGCTATAGGCTCATGACGTTGTCAGCCAAATTCCTCGCAGGAGGGAGCGGGGCATGACTTAGCAGTGCTGTGTGTGTGTCTATAGATGCACATAGCCTGGCTCAGGAGCGCTCAGGCACAGGTACTCATTAAGCACCTGGCTTGTTAAGGAGGCACCTGGAGGAAGGTGAAGCTGACAGCACTTGCAAAGGACAGCCAGTAGAGGAGATAAGGTATCGGTCTGTGCAATACTGTTGCACAGAGTAGACAAGAACCTCCACAGAATAGGACCTCTTATTTAGAAAAATAAATCAAAATTATATAGCATATACTACTATCACTTCAACATGTTCCTGAAGGTGAAATTTACATAGTCCACCCGTTTTTACATGTTCCCACTCCTGCGGCTCCCCCCATCCTCCCCTCCTTGCGACAGCGAGCTGGAGATCCTCTCCCTGCACCCACTGTCACCATTTGAAAAGAGCTCTGTGAATAAACAAAGTATTGATAGCCTTTGTGGCTGATTATAAAAGCTCTCCTAGATTGTAAGCTCCAAGGAGCAGGGCCCTCGAACCCCTCGTGTATTGTATCTGTATTGTCTCATGTACTGTCCTCCACTATAATGTACAGCACTGAGCAAACTTTTTGGCGCTATATAAATCCTGTATAATAATAATAATAATAATAATGGCTTGTAGTTCTCTGTGCGAGATCACTTGTGAGCTGCAGGGTGGGAGTTTAGAAATTAATTGGCTACATAGGCTTGTTCCATAGTTCCACTTTTAAATTGACCTTATCACCACAACTCATATTACAAGCCAAAACACATTCTAAAAACTAAGGAGCTTGAGGTACCAGACTTGTGCGAGGAGGATCGGTGGGTCAGTCGAGTATATCTCCGCTGTTTCTCTTCCCTAGAGCAAAACAAGCAATTAACTTGTGCAGTGCGGGCACAGCCCCACTGCATGGCAAAAAAAAAAAAAAAAAAAAAAAGAAAAAAAAAAAGTTTTGCCAGAATTCTGCTTTAACCATTTGCCGCCCGCCTATGGCTGAATGGCGGCCGGCAAATGCCATCAGCGTTCCAGGTGGACGCCATATGGCGTCCTCCCGCACATGCGCAGATTGCGCTCCTGCAGAGCTGCGCAATCTGTCACCGGCCGTGTACCTCGGACACGGCCGATGACAGTTCTGAGTATCAGTCCCCGTTGCGGTACCATGTGACCTGCTGTGACCAATCACAGTAGGTCACATGACAGTTGTATACAATGGATGGCTTCATTCATGCCATCCATTGTATACTAGTGCCTAGCTGTGAATGGTCACAGCTAATCACATGCACATGTCATGTGATTAGCTGTGGCCAAATCACCGCTAAGCAAAAAAAAAAAAAAAAAAAAACACCTGAATGAATCGATGTCATTGAGGTAAATGCTTGCTTATAGCAAAGTAATTCTTTGCTATAAGCAAATTGTGTAAAAAAAAAAAAAACACAAAAAAAAAAAAAACTGATCACTGTAACATTGTACTACTTTGGTCATAGTGAAATATGAGTCATAGTGAAAAAAAAAAAAAAATGTAATAAAAAAAATAAAAATATATATAATTTTTTTCCATACGGTCACCAGTCAGTGTCCCTGATCACCGCCATGCCAGTTATATAACGCTGTACTGCACTGGTGACAATATGTAAAAAAAAAAAAACACAGTGAAAAACTAATTTTTTTCATTTTTTCATTTTCCGAAAAATGACAAAAAAAATACAACTTCAAAAAAACTCGCCATGCATCTTATGAAGTACGTCGGACTGTTTACTTTACAAAAAGGGGTCATTTGGGGGATATCTGTACTGTTCTGACATTCTCTTGGACCTCAAGAAATTAGATGGCTGTCAGTACTTCAGGATTGATCAATATTCAGATCTATACCATAGTTTGTGAACTCTATAACTTTCCTACAAACTAAAAAATACATCCTAATTTTGGTTATTTTCAAAGACATGTAGCAGAATACATCTTGGCCTAAATTTATGAACAATTATTTATTTGCAAACTTTTATAACAGAAACAAAGAAAAACGTGTGTTTTTTTCAAAATGTTTGGTCTTTTTTTTTGTTAATTTAGCAAAAAATAAAAACCCCGAGCGGTGATTAAATACCACCAAAAGAAGGCTCTAGTTGTGGAAAGAAAATTATAAAATTTTAGTTTGGGTACAATGTTGTATGACCGCGCAATTGTCATTCAAAGTGTGAGAGCGCTGAAACCTGAAAACTGGCCTGGGCAGGAAGGGGATAAAAGTGCCCCGTATTGAATTGGTTAAAATTTGTAGCTGCATTAAAAGGACAGTGTTTCCTTAATGACATGTGACAGACACAGAACTGGTCTCTACGACAGCACTTTCCCCAACGACCAATCTCTGTACAGCTCAGCTCACTTCAGATCCCGGTTCAGGCTTCAATATATATAATGGATAATATCAGTTTTATTGGAAAGGATAATAATGTTGAAGTTAATGTGCATGTAGTAGTCTACTCTAAAGAAGGGTTTACAAGAAACTACCAGCTCACATACTCTTCACAAACCTGAGCTTGCAGAAGTTTCAACTGCTTGTCTTGTTCTGCTAATAGTTGGTAGGCCTCTGCAGACAGTCCCAACATGCCGCTAGGTCCAGGAATTGTAGGAGGTGCCAAGACCATGCATGGGTTTGAACTGCAAGGATTTACAGGCAAGGAGTCTCTTCTGCCTGGAGAGCTGGCACCATCTATAGGACTGGCATGACCCACCGTTCGGCCACAGTTCATTAGCACAGGGCTGCAACAAGCATTTGGACATGGCATATTCTGATAAAATGGCATGACATTTGCAGGAGGTTCTGATGGGCTCTCCAGGCCCCGATGACTGATGTGACTCACAGCTGGCCAGGAAGTAGGTGAATGACACTGAACAGGACTAATGCCAACACAACCGCTGCAGATATTGGCTTGATGGCGACAAGTAGTAAAGTTCTGCAACGGCTTTTGGGCATCAGAAAGTGGCTTCGTCTGAAGGGGGAAGGTCGCATTGTGGTTGGGAGAGTGAGGTAAGGACGACCGTCTGGAATAAGGTGAAGAGGTCAGTGGTGTTTGCTCTTGACAAGGTCCGCGAATGTTGCATTTTAGGTCAAGTTCAGATGAGCCTTTGACCTGGTGTATGGACGTTTCCGGAGATGAACCAGTTCGAGGTGTGGAAAGAGAGGAGGAAGAAGTGGAGGATGATGCGGAGTTTCTTCTAGTCTGGACACTGCTGTGGAAATGTGGTTTGTCACCTGTAGATGACTTTCCCCTGGACAGTTTTGAGGCTGTGGGTTTGGAAGTTTTGAAAGGAACAGGTACATGTTTTGGCATAGATTCCTTCCTATGTAAATCATTATGGGGATAAGAAGTAGTGATAAACTGGTTGTTTACAACTTTTGGCGTCGAGGACAAAGGAGGAACCTTTTTATTGCTGATCTCTGAATTCTGTACTGCAGGCTTTGGTTCTACAACACTTCCGAATACCAAAGAGAGTTCAGGTACAGATGGGTGGATTTTAGTTACCTGTAGTGAAAACATTTAAAATATGTTTGAATATGTCACCAGTCTGACCAGCCAAAATATGTTAAAGGTCTATTACACAAAATTCAAAATGGGTTATGAAAACATTTTAAAGCAGTAGCAAAAAAATAGGTATTTTTCAGACTTATCAATACAGAAGAGGTTTCAAAGAAAGATGGCAAAGTGATGAAAGGATTTTATATGTAGAGTAGAAATACCATCTAGTAACTCTAAAAAGAAACAGATAACGGATGTTTACGACCTGAAAAAATTGCAGCCATCCTTTATCATCCACAGGTATTTTAACAGACTTCAGTGAACAGTGTCACCTAGTGGTCAGTGAAATCATGGAAAGCTTAAAGAAAACAATGCACACCCCAAAAACATGTACAAAAACTTTTAGGCCCACGTTACATGGATGGACAGTCATGAACAGCAGAAAGAGAACGTATTGCTACAGCTAGGCTGAAAGGTGGTTGCAAACTGCTACGGGCACTCCTATATAAAACAAAGACAGAAGCTGTCTGCAGCTTCACGCATGTATCTGTGCATTGAGCTGTTACCTGCAGTTAGGAACATATGTTCAACTCTGGATGCACACAGATGTGTCCAGGTACAGGCATCTGTCCCTAACCGCAGGCAACAGTGTGATGTGTGGATACATGCAAAGAACAGGAGACAGCTGTGGCTCCAGTAAGCTGGTTATTTGCGTTGTACAGGCTGAGCGGCCACAGCTGTTTGCAACCACCCGTCAGCCTAGCAGCAGCACTACCGTGTCTCTTGCCCCTGTCCATTTGTAAAGGATGCCTTAGTGTGATGTTTGATGGATGATTCTGTAACCGATGACATTATCTAAGAAAATGGAAGCACTGCATCTAATGGTTGCCGGACTGGATTGCTTCAAAATTTCACTCGCTAGCAAGAAGGCAACAAGAGGTACTTCTCTAGCAATGGGGTCACTAACAGACTATTCAGATTTTCTTGAGAATAGTCATCGGTAGCAGGATTGCTTGCCTGTCAAGCCCCTAATGACAAAATAGTTTATGAATATTGTTCACTTATGTAAACGTATTTTCATTGTCAATCTGGCATGGAATCTTTTATTTGAGAACTTATTAAGGATATGTCAGTTCATGGAGCAAAACTGGCAAAGATGCCAAAGTATTTCTTAACTCACTGTTAAAGCATTATTAAAATGACAACTATACTATTAGCTCAGTCCTCATTTAATTACTTGTCACACCCCCTCAGAGAAGGCTGCCTGGTAAAGGCTGGTAGACAAATGCTAAATATAAGCCGGTTCAATAGAACCCGGCTTGTGTCAAACAGGCATGCTGGAAAAACAGTAGCCGACTGGCATCCTGATTAGTGCTTGCAGCCAAAGGCTATAGGCTGCCAACTGGTGTGTTCTGGGGGGCAGTGCCCTTGTCAGAACACAATAGCACATAGTGAGGAGATTGCTGTACTAATAAAGCATAGTTAGTACAGCGAGCTCCCAGCAGGCTGAACCAAAAAGAAGAAAAAACAAAAAACAAAAAAAACACTTATCCTGTGTACCAGGCTTACAGGAGAGAGGGAAAAAAAAAATTCTCACTTGGCCCCTGTCACTTGCACATTAGTCCTATTCTTTCCTATAGACAATTTATTCCTATACTCAGCTAGGGAATGGTTTTCCTTTTCAAAACTGTCCTTGGGTTATGGGATGAAGTCCATTTAGATTCAGCTAATGCTTACCAGAGCTTTGCTTTATGAAAGCCAGGTAACAGAAAAAGGATGGCACAGTAATTTCTTTTCTTGTATTTTTAGGCTGCTGGTCACCGCTATCCATCTAGCAGTGTTTTTTTTTTCTAAAAATCTGTTTGTTTTCTTTCCATTCTTTAGCTATGCTTTATAACCTACCTGCTGAAATGAAGGATGAGGGTGAGGCGAAGGCCTAGGAGAGAAATCCTCATCTTCTACTCCAGAATCATGGTCACTTACTGATAACTTAGTGGGAGATGCATGCTGTTTATTTCTGGAAAAGAATATTAAGTAACCATATGAGTTTTTGGAATAAACACCATAAAAACAGGACCAGCTTCAAAACACATTTTACAGATGCCATAGTAAAGAAATAGGAGCCTTGGCTTGATGTCACATGGTCATCTGTGCAGCCATGTTGTAAGTGCATCTACTGAATGAAACTTACACAGCTTCAGAAACCGTCTTGGAAACTTCACTAAGCAAATAGGCTTCAGAATTCTGACTTTCAGTAGTGAGCTCAAACGACAGGGGTGATTGTTTAGAGGATTCCACATTCTAAAATAAATAAACAGAAGCTTCAGAAATACTGTACTATAACAATTACAGGAAGGAAGAAGATAGCAGTAAAAACTCACTTTGAAAAGGTGTAGAGAATCTTCACAGGTCAGCAACTGGTAGCCAAGAGGATCATGGCCAATGCATGGAATACACTCATAGAACTCAGGCTCCTTGTGGGTCAGTGAATAGAGAACAATGAGGAAACTGCCAGACTCTGAGAGCACCCTGGAAAGACCAGTAGATATAGGGAGTTATATTTACATATGTCATTCTGTCCAAGTTAAAGGTAAAAGCAAGAAATGGATCATCTGCATAAAACAAATCTCTCAAGTTTGTTTGTGTCTCTGCTTTTTGAATTACAGACCTAGAACAAATATGCAGCAAGTCAAGTCCTCCCGATTACTCCTATGTCACTACTGTGATCTGCAGTGACTAGGGGTTGGCAGGAAAAAGTGCAGCAGACAGTATTGGACATGATGCTTGGCACATCTGAGGTGTCAGATAGTAGTGGCCCACAGCTTTTCAAGAAAGTGAAGTTTTAACAATCTGGCTATGCAAGTATAACCTGCTCCTTTCATTGAGTTATGCTCTAATTTTTGTTACCCCCTGACAAGGTTTCTTTATGATGGAGTCCTGACATGTTTTCACTAATGGCAACTGGAAGAATTCCATTAAAGGAATATTCGACTAAAACATATCCACTATGCTTACGTTACAGAATAAAGGTTCCAAGTACTTAAGTTTGATGCTCCTGTATTTCTCCTGCTTTTGGTAGGAACACAGCCCAAGATCAGCACATCATTGATTATAGTGAGACCTGCCACTGCGGGGCTGTACAGAAATCAGGCAGATGTGTAGCTGACTTGGAAGGTTACTGTAGAGCTGCCAGGGAAGATTTTTTTTAAGCTCTCAGTGACATTAAAGTACATGTATAATTTACACCATCTAAAAGGGCCTGTGCAGATATGACTTGTTTGCTTTCCCATACAAGTCTATGGGAATGCAAAACATGCCTAGAGCAGGTCCATTGCAGGCAAGAAGGCAGTCTCTCTTTAAATTTGTAATCCTCTCATAAGCGTTTCAAACAGATGCCATTGATACAAACCCTAATGTGCTATAAAACAGGAGGGCATGTGTGATCCTACTAACCAGACTTGCTCCGGAGCAGCATTGACTAATAAAATGGATCTTGGTAGGCATTAATCAGATAGCTTCTTTATAGTTTTATTTTAGAAGACAAGATAAAATTTACAATTTTGGTATCTCAGGGCATCCACATCTCTTTAGAACATCTTAAAGAGAAATGCATGAAATCTTTTTTTTTTTTTTTTTTTTTTTTTAATTTACATTGGGACATTTGCAGACTTGTACTATGCTTTCAGGACTTGCCACAAGACAGCTATGGTCCACTATGCTACGTTGCGCCTAATCAACTACTTTCCCCCAAAACATGAATGGGAGTTTTTTGGAAAGCTGAACTTCCCTGGTACTCTAATTATTAAAGCCTGCAAACAACTCCTCATCTCTTTTGCAGCTAAAATGCCTATTTGCATAGGAATATTTATTCTGAGGGAGAAAGAGCTTCATGGTAGAAGACCATCTGCATGATTTTTCTTGCCAAAAGGCACTTCCCGCTTCCTCCTAGTTATTTTTTCTTTTTTTTTTCCTGCCTGTGGTGCACACCAACAGTACCTGTAAAATGCTCAGCTAGTCAGGTGATGGGACAATGTAATTCCAACGCACAGGAGTTACATGATCAGTGGCCATCCAATGTCAAAAGATGGAACACGCCAGACAAGATACAGATCCCTTTACCATTTGTATCAAGGTTGTGTCTGTTGTGGCCTCATTGAGGTGTCCTGAAGCACTTGTGCCTTGTTTTGTATCTGGATGCTCATTTCTGTTTATGCCCCAATTACTGTGTGGTTATATCTGATAGTTTGCATAAACAAAGATTTATTAAAAAGACTAAATGAATAAGTATGCTGTGCATGCTTGAACAAGAGAAACCCTCTTCCCCCAGCTGGCCATTGAGTTCTGTTTTAAATATACAGTACTGCTTTACTACATGACCAGAACATCACTCTGGCAAACTTCTCTCCTCAGCCATAGATGAAAATATAAGAAGGCTGTCATCTTAGTTAATGCATAGGTAAGAAATAATGGGGGAATTATGTGAAAAATATCAATTTTACACACAAAATATTTCATATTTTGCGCAAGCATAATTTTCTCAATTGCCACTTAGAGTGGAGTCCATCAGCTTCTGGACAAAAGTTTGTTTAGATGATCCCAAAATATCTATTATGTTGTTCATGTTTCCTATGTAGAGCGCACATATCTGGGTAACATGTACAAAACAACATTGAAACCCATTTCTAAAATTCATACACACCAAAAAAAATGATATTTGTCATCTAGAAAATTATTATATATAGGATTGCTATGGGAGGTATCATATTTAGAAATTTTCTAATGTATTAAGAGTTTTATAATTAAATAGGGCTTTTAAATTGTGTTATTATTAACCTCTTCTTACTACTATCTTAAGTAGTGTTATGCTGTATATTTATGTATTTACCAAGAGAAGACTGGGAGTACGAATATTGCAACCGATAGTTTTTAAAGCATAATGTAAATGTGAATGAGGGTACACCCAAAAGCACATTAACATGGCTGTGAGAGAAAGCGGAAATTAAGTCATAAGTTAAGGTTCACTGGGCGGATATATGGGAAGATGCCCTGTGGCAGGGGTGAAACGCGTTAGTTGGGGACTTCCAGTAACGGCACATCCGGCCAGTGGAATGTACTCTAACGGTACTTCCGGTTCGGTATTACATGCCTTTCTAATCTACATCATTGTGAGTGTAATTTTAATAAAATAACAGAATTGCTATGCTTATTTTTATGATCCTCTTTGCATATGATTATCTGTGAATCTGAGGAACGATTGAAAGAACTCCCATCTAAAGTTGTTTTTTCAGGTGCATTTTGAATCTTAGTGTTTAAGGGTCAACATCAACTGTTTTGTGGCATTTTGGAAGATACTTTGTGCAATAAAAAACATTGAACTAATTTAGCTTCCAAGGACATATATGTCTGTGGGCACCTTAAGCCTAGAAACATACAAAGAAGCCACTAAGCGACACTTACCTTTCCTTAACCGATGAGCTGAACAGGTATCGCAGACAGCTGACCCAAACCTGCGGACTGTGGATATGTGTAATCCCACTCAGCCAGCTGTTTAGAGGAAACACAATAAAGGATCTGTAACTTGAAATATAAGTATACTTGTATAAAGCATCTCTACTCATGAGACAGAACTCCACGACTCTGTTTGACGCAACTATGCCCACTCTGGATTTGGGAGAGGTATGACATCAGGCAGTTGATAAAAAGGAGGCTTGGACAAAATCAGTCCAGATAAATAAGAGCAATGAAATCTTTCAAAAAGCAAGCCTGCAGAATGCATACGAGTTTGTAGATTCTTGCTCAGATTTCAACTCTTTTCAAACACATGAATATTTACAGGACAGGCCCAGCAGCATTATTACAGTATGTTGGAATTGAAGTGTTTTTATTCGACAAGACAATGAAGATAGCCAGACAATGATCCTCCCCTTTCCTTTACAAACAGAGAACCCTAACACCAACATTTCTTAAATTATCATTTAGGACTCAAAAACAAGTCATGGACAGGTTTGTGATGGGTCACCACATGAATGTGTGGTAAATGTAGCACAAAATCAGTGGCCAGTGACATAGCAAACTTTGTTACAAATCTGTGACGTAGCCTATAAACAATGCAATTAATGTATCACAGAGAGCATTCGTTCCTACAGAATGAAAAATGTAATAAATGTTCTGCCCACAAAACCATCACTCCTCTCAAATACTGGATTTAACCAATAAAACTGACAGCACAGACATGTATGGTGGAATAGAGTGTGTCGAAGGGAGGCAGTGGGAATCGCACAGATAAGGTAGTGTGGTGAAGAGACCACAGCAATAGTTGTAAATGTCAAAGAAAAATATAACAAAGAATTTATTTCTTTCAGACCACAGAAATGATAAAGTGCCTCCAAAGCGTCATACAGCTTATTTGTCATTGCTGACATTTTGGTAATAAATTATCTTCTTGGGTCCCAGTATGGTAGCAAATTTCTTAGTGTGTTCAGATTAGAAAAAAAGGTTTAAGAACCCCTGCTTTAAAGGCTAGTTTCACTTTTAATGAAAAATACATGCAAATGATTTTGCAGGGGAAAAAAAAAAAAAAAAAAAAAAAACAAAAAAACATATACACACACCACATTACTTTTTATTTTACAGGAGCCTGTAAAGCATTGTACCCCCAATCAATGTATTGAAGGTGCAACATCAGGCTCCTGAAGACACTTTATTGAGCTGTCTGTACTGCAGTATGGGCTTTTGGTTAGAAAGCTAGAGGAAGTGTCAATGGACTTTGAGTGTGCGGATTACTCCTAAAAGGTGAACTTAGGCTTTAAACAAATACAAAAAAAAAACAATAGTTATAGTAACAAAACTCACATTCCGACAAGTGGAAGTGTATAAGCCTTTGGATCAGACTCTAGGACTAGAAGCAGTTTCCGAGTTTGGTCCATCGTCAAATATCTATTTACAGAGAAGGAAAAAAACCAAAAAAAACCCCAAAAACACATTAAAAAAAAAGGACTAAAAGACTTCAAACACATACAAAATATTCAAAATGTAGCAAGATTTAATCTCCATTGGCTTTTGCCTATTGATAACCCACTGGTTTCTTTGGATATCATTAAAAAGAAAAAAAAAAAAAACAAAAACCCACCAAACTACTAATAATAGGTTAATCTACTTTCTTTGAAACAAGCTTTTCTGAATGTATGAGTGTTGTAGGAACATTAAAATGCTGGTCAAAATAAATAAAGGTCAGGTGTAAAGTAAAAAGAAAAAGCAAAAATAGAATACACATATTTTCCCCCACTGCAACATTTTGAAGTAATTGCTTTAACTGGGAAAGGATTCAAGGGTAATGTTTTGCCACCAAAAATATTAACGAAAGCAATGTACCTTACATAAATACGTCTGCAAATATATCATTTTATGGCTAAAATAGGTCCACATTTTAGCAAGCAGAATATATAATAAAAGACCCTCGCTGTTTAAAACTGAAATCGTGCTGTGCACGTACTGTAAATATATGCCCCTTTAAAATTTTGTTTGCTATTGCACTTGCTACAGATGCATTCAATTTGGTCTACATCAAGTGTTTGGTAAATAGAAACAAACAGACGCTTTAAAAACACTTTGTCGCCGCAGTCAAAAGGACAAGCATTTGTAGAAAGACACAAGTATTATTTAGATTTTTTATTAAAGAACACTCAAAAAAAAGAAGCTTACCCGCATTTGTGTGTTCCTTGAAGCTGTGCAATATTATTGTGACTGCTCAGGTTCCTGGCTAGGGCCGTGGGTATAATTGGGACAGGCTTTATGGGAGTGCTTTCAAATGAATTTGCTACCGTGACAGCCGCCCAGCGAAGATCAAAGTGAAGATTGTCCATGTTCTCCCAGTAAGTGATATGAGCTCTCACAGTGAGCAATTTTGAAAGATCCAAGGCTTCTTTGCCGTGGAGATGGCTCTGCAGACCCTTAAAACAAAAATATGAGAACTGCTTTTTCATCTGCAAAACAATACAATTAAAGTCTGACGGCAGTAATTTCCAGCTCCTTCCTCCTACTTGACATTCAGGAAAGAGTAGATCTGCTTTGTACATGGAACGTAGAGACGCAAGGAGAGAAGGGGAGAAAATGTCCCTCAAGAAGACAAACAGAAAATCACCACAATAACTCAGTAAATATATTCACAAGCCATGTATTGTTCCATAGGGTACACATAGTGATTTTTCCCTACAGAGCATACAAAAGATATATTATCCCAGAGGCCAATAGCTAAACATCAGTGTAATTCTCAGTGAAGATGATCACTAAGAGCTGGAAAAACTAGCAATTATTCACCAAGAAACATAAAAAAGTACACTTTTATAATGACCGGGAATATTGACATGCCCAAATTCCAAGCTCTCAAAATGACAGCCTGGAGTTTCTGTGTAAATACAAGTCGGGGGGGGAGGAGAACCGTTTGTCAGTGTTTAACCTCTTCATGTCAAACCCTAAATGCCAGTTCACATACTGTATATGTGGATTGAATAAAGTTTGAACCGCATGACATGTGAAACAACATTGCTTCCAATGGTGCCTGTTCACATACAGCCGCTGCACTGGCAGTGCAGATTGAAAAAGAGTCGTGTCCGATTTCTGAGCAGTGCAGTCCGCATGAGGCAGGGATCACAGGCTCATTGACTTCTATGGGAACCACTTCTGAATTGCACATGTCATGAGTTTGTGAATACGATTTCAGGACTTTTTTTTTTCTCTTCAAATCCTGACATGAACAACGGCTTTTCAATACGCACTGAAACTGGAGATGTCAAGTCACACTGCACATTTGTGAATCAGTACGAAGCCTGACCTAGACCAATCCCCGATTTTAGGTGATCGATCTGGGCATCCCAGTTCCGATCAGTAGTACAAGACATGGAACTGTTGGTAAAAGCTCGCTCTGTGCTGGGAGTGCTGAGAGTACAGTAGTGCATACAGAACATGCAGCTCCACGAATAATGATCCACTTCCGTGATGCCATGGCTATGCATATGCTCGGTGGGGAGGAATTAAACATCTGTTCAGCCTCAGAGATACAAACTAAGGCTGGCCATACATTATGCAATTTTCTTGTTCAATTTCTTTTAGATTAACCTTCAACAATGTAGTGCAAGGGCCTGCCTCATTGCATACAAATTGAAATGGTTTAGGTTTGACCTCATACTGTATGGTTTTGATCAAGGAAAATGATAGAATGTTTCACCAGCCTAATATTTTTACTTTTGTCTTCAACCCCTAGTGTACCCTAATCAATCCAAAATCACTTCATTCTTCCCCTTAGTAATATTGCTGATTTTTCTAAAAACAGGACAAAATATAAAAATAAAAATGTATACTTTTTACATCTTCAGTAACCCTAACTTTTTTTTTTTAACTAATGCTTATCAAAGTTAAAAAGAAAATAAAAGTGCATTTATCTGTTTGCACAAAGCAGAGTCTCATTCATGAGGTGTTGGGGCCAGGCATCATAGGCGGGAGAGGGGAGGCCAAAGGAAAAAAAGCAACTTGAAAAAGTAAGGAATATGTTCCACATAGAGCACTGCATATCAACATGTTTGTAAAGTTAAAACATTTTTTTTTACCTTAAAAGCATACTAAGCATTAAGGTAAAGAAACCTTTTAAATGCACCCCCTCCTAAATACTCATCCAGCACTGTGCACATCTGCAGCAGCTCTTTTCCCCTCTCCCCGCTCTGACGGGCTTGGCTAAGAACAGTGGGAGCCTTTGGCTCCTGCTGCGGTCGGTCAAAACCTGTGAGCAGAGAGCGGGGGACAGGGGCTAAGCGAATAGCCTGGCTCGGGAGCGAGCCCACATGAGTGCACAGCTTACTGAACAGAGGCGGAAAGGCAGGTAAGTAAATTTAATGCAGAAGATACAAAGCATGTCTCTTATGCATTAAAATTCCTGCCTGTTCACCCATTTTCAACCTAAAGTTCCACTTTAAGCTTTGCTCTTGGCTTAGCAGTTATACAAGTTACAATGCATGTTAAGGCTGATCTCGGGGCACAACTTTCATTACAATATATTTCTTAATAGCTTCAGAAAAAAATATATGTAAATCCTCCTTGTGTTCACCAAATGCCTTTGCAAAACCGGATATTACTTTGCACAAGAAAATCATTTTTTTTTCTTTTTGGAGAGTACCTTTTTTTGCGGTATCCACTCCCACTTCCTCATGACCTCACCTTGGCCTGCCCTTCACAATAAGAACAGCCAATGAATTCCTCACCTTCTCACAATTCTCACCTCTGCTGCCTTTTGCCTTATGACATGGCAGAATACTACAATGAATGGTAGAGGAAGGTAGATTAGAAAGATACCAGCAAACTAAGAAGGCATTCATATTCCCAGGATGTGTCTCGCAGGTATATTTGCAGTCACTTTCACTGGAGCACAACTAAAGTTTCACTTTTCCTCCACCTTCTCCTACAACTTTCCTCTTGCAGTTTTGGGGACCACTGTTGTTATAGTGAAGGGCAGGCCAAGGTGAGATCATGAGGAAGTGGTAGTGGATACCGCAAAAAAAAAGGTACTCTCAAAAAAAAAAAAAAAAAAAAAAAGTGATTTTCTTGTGCAAAGTAATATCTGGCTTTGCAAAGGCTTGCGATTGCGCAGTGGGAGGTCATCTGTGAAGACGCAAGGAGTCACAGACAGCTTTCCACAGTAAGCAGCCCAGGTGAGGATGGCATGGGATCACTGGATGGGCGAGTGCCTTTATTAAAAAAAGTAATCTTAAATCATTTCGGAACCTGGCTGAAGCTCCTCTTAAAAAAGCAACTGCACCTTATTCTCACACTACAGTGGACACCCATATTAATAAATGCAGTAGTTAAAGCAGTTAGCAGGGCTTGTTAGCCAGCATCGTATAACAGATAATGCATTACCAACACACAACAAGTATGTAGACAACTGTAAAAAAATAAATACAAAATCCAATTAAATTTGTAAGACCCACTTATTCAATTCACACTATTATAAAAACAAGAAAACAGTCTTTAAAAAAGGACAATAAACAGTCTAAACAGGTGGAAACAAGACCATGAAGTGGAAAAGTACAGAAAAAAAAAAATTGGCAACTTAAAATTCACCCTGTGAGATGGTGCAATAACAAATAGCTTACCTTAAAAGACAATGCAAAGTCCTCTGGGGTATGTAGAGTGACATTTCCTGCAGACTCCCTGCTAGATACCGAACACGGAATCACAAAATCGCCAGGTAATAGAGCAGAGGGAACCTTCCCTACAATGCCAGCTTTCTCCCGGCCAGGATCAAAGCGATCAATTGTTAAGGTTATACCTTCCTCATCTAACAGAATAGATTGCAAACAATATAAAAACATCCTCGGATCTAAATCTTTATACATTTTATAAGTGTTATCTGTCCTGGAATAACAAAGTGAAATTGTTGCCCAGATTCCAGACGTTAGCCATAGACAACTGTTCCGTTCTACCTCAGCTCATGTTTTTAAAAAAAAAAAAAAAAAAAAAAAAAAAAAAAAAAAAAAAAAAAGCATAAAAACGCTTCTTGCACAATATACAGAAAACTATTTTTTTTTTTTAAAAAGTGGACATACCCATGCGGAAGAATCTACAGGTTTAATCCCTTTCATCCCTTTCCAGTGCCAGTTATGTGACCAAAGGGTAAAATATTGGTATTGCCGAAAGAAGAGGGGGAGTGGAGTTTAGGCAGACATTCACTGACTAGGTCTAGGTCAAGTCCCATGCCCTAAGGCAGGGATTCTCAACCAGGGTTCCTCCAGAGGTTGCTATGGGTTTCTTGAGCAATGAGCCATTTCTGCCTGTCATCTATAACGATTAATGGTGTAAGTGGGAAATTATCTATCTGTAAAGGGGTAATACTTGCCAATGACCTTCGTACTAATGAATCATGAGTTGTAGAGTTAATAAATATTAGCAGGGGTTCCCTGAACCAGGAAAGTTATTTCTTCTATTACTTCTCTGTGTTGAAAAGGTTGAGAAAGGCTGTCCTAAGGTCTCATGCAAACAGGGCATTTGCCTATTTCTCCTAGACTCCTTTCCTCCTAGTAGCAGCATTCTGGCAGAAAAAAATGCTTTGACATTTGCATCAAGCGTTAATGCATTCCATTTGCCAGAAAAAGCATTTATTCTGGCCACTGAAATGAAATAAGTGCTTGACGCGCTTACATGCATTAAGTGCTTTTTCTGCCAAAATCCCGAAGCTCCTGGCAGTGGGGTGTTTAGAAGCAGAAAAAAAAAAAAGCCAGACGCCCCTAAAAGCAGCGTTAAGTGCCCAGACTTCTTTGGCTGAGATCTCCTGACCACAGTCTGGACATCTGCTCATTTGACAGCTACAAGGATATTTAGGTCAATATTTTCAATATTTAAGGGCACATGGTACTGGTGTATGAACATTAGATTCCTGGCAGAAAACTGATGAGTAAAAGCATGAGGATGGGCTGTGTGGTAAATGCACATATATATACACACACCCAAAAGAAAAGCTAGAAGAATTTTTGTGTTGTACATGCGTCTGTGTGTAAAATACTGTCCAGAAACAGATTTTTTTTTTTTTTTTTTTACTTACTTACAGGCACACGTTCACATGCCTGTGTGTACAGGCCTATTAAAAACAATGGGCATCATTTAGAATTTTTTTTTTTTTTTTTTTTAAAAAAAAAGCCTGATTGCCTAAAAAGCATGGCATTTTGTTAGGTGTCCATGTGCAAAAAGCCCAATAGTGGAGCTGTGTAGCTCCTAAAGCCAAAAAAGGCAGCAAATCAGCTGCTCTTTCATCAGACTCCTATAGAAACTTGTTGTACAAACCCAACTTGCTCGCACTGTACTACAGAGTGCTTTTATTTACATACCAATGAACACAAACTTAACAGCTGATCGATTTAGTGCCTAGGCATGTCCCTAGCTTTCACCACTATAAACACACATCAGGACAAACTTTAAATGCTGAGACTAGGTACCACGACAAACGTGATTTCAGGGCCGTTTTTTAAAACAGCATTCAGGA